CATTTCTAATTCTGGTCTCTGCCCCAGGTCCTACGGTGAGGTCCGGTTGACGTAGCCCCTACATGTCTTATCCAATCGTTTCTAGTGTTTTTTTTCCGCGCATGCTTTCAGCACACAACTTCCGTGCACTTTGAAATTCCAGGACTGCCAACACTGGCTGTAGCTGACTGAGGCAATGTTCATGGTGCTGGATGCTCCAAGCTTAGCTGGCAAACCCTTCTGCACCACATGAGAGCCCGTGGAGAAGTATAGGGAACCGATGGTCATTCTTTGTCAGACTCTGTGCTTCTCTTCATACAAAGGCCCGGAACCTGCTACGCCAGCGGCCAGAGTCACTCAGCTCAAGTTTGCAGAGAGCCGAAGAAACACGGGTGCCAGAAAGTGCCGTCTCAGGTTCCAGGCGTCGCTGCCAACAGACGAGGCTCGAGTGTTTTCTGTGAGTCTATGTTGCTGAGCCAACACCGTCTCCTCTCCACACACGAGGTGTTCTATGAATATCTCGGCTGCATCGAGAACGGTCAGCCTGCACCTCGGAGGGCTCGTGAAGCATCGCGATTCGCGCAACCAAAAAGGATCTGATCTTCCGCGAATTGCTGGTGCCTGTGCAGATCCTGCGGCGACCTGACGGGAGACCGAGGCTCTCGGCCTCGGCACCAGGGCATCCTACTGTACTTCTGTCACAGTGTTTTGCCCTTCCAGGCGTTGGAACCTTCGGCGGCAGCGAGGCCTCGCATGCCTTGGAGCGTCTGCTCAATGCGATGCCCGAACATGCAGCGATGGCAGGACCATACGGCAATCATGGCCTCGCAGAGGGGCACCCTCAAGGCAGGTTCACGGCCGCTGGCATCGCCCTCCAGGCATCATTTCCAGCGTTGGGAGGTCTTTTCATACAAGCCCACAAGGCTGGAGCGCAGGGTCCTCGTGCAGTCAGTCCTTTGGCTCTTGTACAGCTTCTGCCAGCCGTCTTGCGATTGGTTTCGGATGCCTGTGCTGACGTTTGAAGGTTCGATCAAGATGCCTCCACATCTTCTTTTTGCAGTCGCATCCAGTGGACTTCTGGCAGAAAAGACTGGGCCGCAAGCTTGGTTGCAGATGCACGCCATGAGATGTTTTATCGTGACAAGCTATGCACTGGAAGGGACAAGATGGAAAGCTACAACGATGCAGCGACACTGGCCCTGAACGCCGGCAGAATTGTCGCCAAAGATCAAGGCAAGCGGCATGAGAGAATTCGTACTGGATTGCATCTGGTGCCATGCAGGCTGGGGCGAGGACACGTGGAATTTCAACAGGAAGTGCCAACAAAGGCCGATTGCCCCATTGCACGATCTCGCGAGGACGTAGATCTTGCAACCTGCATTCAGCGCTGTGGCGGTGGTCTCGATGCGTGTGCGCGAGCCCTGCGCCTTTGCTTACCCGTGTGCCCATGCCATGCTTACATGTGGCGCGTAAGTCATGCATGGTCGCAGGTGATCGCATAGCAAAGATTCTGCGTGCACAGCCTGCAGGCCAGTTCAGTGCGAGCGGCAGTGCTGCCTAGCATGCTAGGCCTATCGACCCTGAAATAAGTATGCATAGATAGAGGTGTATCGGTAGGTAGATAGATAGATAGATAATTGCATCGGCTGCAACATAAAAGATTATAAGGTATCGAGTTTCGGTCTGAGTCTACCGAGTGTGCAACCGCAAAACACTGAGTGTGTGCACCGTGCTGCGGCAGAGCATGCACAGGGGAGGCATTGGAAGCTCGTTTCAAGCAATTCTTCACAGAGAATGAGGCAGATCGATTCCTGCTGCAAGACTGCCATTCCCGCACTTCAACAGACATGTAGGGCTTCTGTTGCCAGGAGTGCGTGCCTGGGGTTGCGGAGGCCAGCATGATCTCGCCCCATCCTTGGACAGTTCCCTGCATGGCCATGTCGCAGGCGTTCTCAGTAGCAGACGAGGCGAGTTTGGGAGCTATAGCCATCACCTCAGCTGCGAGACCATTTGAGATTAGGCTTTTCAGGACGACCGAGTGCAGGTCGACAGATCACAAAGCGCAGGAGATGCTGGCTTGCAGCCTTCCTGGCCTGTTTTACCCTCTCATCACACCACCCCCCCTGCAAGCTCAGATTGCAGGAACCTCGTAGCCGAAACACGATGGCTGCCAGCGGAGGCTTCGTCGCAAGAACTGCCTCGGAGCGGATGCGTGCAGTGCAGTCCCAGGCACGGCGGCTGGGAGCAATCGCGGCCTCAGCCTTCGGCGCCGGGTTCGGTGGAAGCGTGTGGGTGGCTGTCCAAGCAGCTGAAGAGAACTGTAAGCTGTGCAGAGCTGTGCCATGCTGTGTCAGCTCTGCCGATCGAGGCTTTGGTGCACGCGACAGAATCAAGCGATTTCATCTGCAAGTGGAAGGAGGCATACTTGAAGGCATCCCTGCAGTGAGTGAAGCAGGGCATCTCTTGGTCTGTTCCCGCACATGCCCGAGGAGTTCCCCAGCAGAGCTTCGACATGCGAGTTCTTTACAACAGTCGCCTTCTCGGCTCGCCTTCGCGTGCAAAGATTGCAGCAAATCAGACGTGCAGTAGCCAGCCAAATGTATATCTCAATTATCTCGACTTATTTTGGGGTTCTACGGGTCAGGTGCTGTTTATGTCGTGGCCCAAGTTAGACGTGGCGTCCTCAAGTGTGCTTGGTCGAAGTACGTTGGGGGTGGTGGCTTCTGTGCTTCCACTTGGAAGATGCAAAACAGCAGAATATCACCGAAAGTGAATGATTCAATCTCATTCATCAACTTTCCATGTAACATCTGTGCTGGTGAGTTGGGCTTTGTATCGGTATTTGCGGGGCATTGGGATTCCGATCACAACAATGAGTTGCCCAAGTACACCTGGTGCAGGAGTTGAGCATGGACCCTGGTATGAACGAGGGGCTGGTACTTGGACGGCACAGCGTTGAAGCACAGGTCGCGCACATCTCCGGGTAAATGCAAGACAAGGGTGGCGGTTTCGTGGTCGCAAATGCGCTGTATGTATGCCTCGCAGTATGACAAGCTCATGACAGTAAACAATCCTAGGCCGAGGTTCAACCAATGGCCACAAGGCACCAATCACCGATGATTTTGAAAGAAGCGGTTCTTCACCAGGGCTGAAGATTTTCAGCTACGACCTTTCACACGCAACTCCATGGACATAGCAATGAACGAAATCGTTTATTATGACAGGCACGGCCAGCAACAGAAGCAGCAGCGGGCAACAGGAACAGCGTGTCAAGTTCGCCTGGAGCGAGGCACCCGCGCCGGGAGCTTGCGAGATTACTGCAGATCTGAACCATATGGTGGCATCCTGAGCTTGAGGTACGCACACAAATTCAGCAAGTTTGCGATAAGCAAGACCATTCGTGCTGTTGTTCGGCATTGCGCATCCACATGACCCGTGGGGATGAAGCCTCAGGCCACCCGGAAGCGAAAGCCAAGAGAGGCCGCAGAGCAAAGTTCTCAGGCGGCGTGAATGCAGAAAAAGCGACTGTGAGTTGCATATGTCCTCCGTGGAAGACCTCTGCATGTCTAGCAGCCGCACTGCGCAGCTCCTTCCATCTCTCAGCCGCCCTGCCTGTGGGGTCACATGTAAATCTCACACGCAAATCTTCGAGAGCCGATGAAAGGAAAAGCCCTAGCACTGCTGGCACGAGACCATCCGTCGAGTTCAGCTGTCCTGCTTGTGAATGTCGAGCATTGCAGCGAGAAGTGCCCACGACATTGGCAACCTCAAACATCAAAGAACTATGCATCAGACTATCTTCTGGGCGGGCCAGGACCAGGAGGGTGCGAGGAAAAGGTCGGACGTAAAGTGAAACGACTAAGAAGCAGAGATCTTGAGCAACAGTTCCAGTCCCTGGATAGCAAGCCTCACGAAAGAAGTAGGACTAGGATCGTCTGGCTCGCCGTCTCACCCACTGGTCGGTGTGCTGAAGCCGCCGAGGCCGGCGCTTCCACAGAGAAGTTCGTCATTTTCTTTGCATAAGACAGTTGGCCTTCCGTTAGAGCAGTCGGCTGTGCTGGAGACTGTGCGAAGTGTTGCAAACAGGCCCATGATCCGACTGGTCTTGGTGCTTGCTGGTGACCACCCTCAGATTACTGTTTGCAGCTGTTGGAGAACTGCAAATGCTGGTCTTCCTTCATGCCTGGAAAGCTCAGAAGTAACTCGACCTGACGGATTTCGGGCAAGGTTTTCCACTGCGCACTTGGTGCGGTTCAGATGACGACTTCAAATCCGTTTTTAACAAGGCCTACAACTCCACACAGATTTGCCGACGTCGGTTACGAGTTTGAAATCTGAAGGCTTTCTTCGACCAGTTACAAGCGGCTGGCCAGGCACGTTGGTCCCTCGATTAGTCTATGGATGCCTGCTTTCATGGCTTCGCTTCAGGCTCAGCCGGTTATCTTCCAGACAGGGCTTCAGCCTCGGGCCTCGTTGCGCACATCGGCTCCTAGGCGGGCGGCCAGCATAGCACTCGACGCGTCCCGAGGCCTTCAAAGCCCCAAAGCGGGTCCCGAGAGCAAGAGCTCGATCAGAAGCTTCAAAGCTTGGTGTCGGGCCCGGGATCAAGTGCATGTGAAAGTCACTCCAAGTGACACGGTGCCAAGGTAAGTGGCGGTGCCCAGCCAGGTTTTGCAATCGAAATCATCAATGAGGCTACTGCTTGGGTTTTTCGGACAGTCCCAGCACTGGGTGTAGACAGTGTAGACTATGCTGTAATGACGGCAGTGCCTGTCAGGATGCTCAACCTGGACCGATGCAAGCCGAAGCCGCATCTTGCATGTTGCGCTTGATATATCATGTAGTCCGCATCTCTGCAATGTCCTGGCAGGCTGTTCGCGAGCTTTTCCCAGGACCTGTGCAGTTCGAATTCGGCACCGACAGAGGCGAGGATCGCGCATAGTAGACCTTTACAGACGACGCGCATCTCTGCTTTGCAAGGTGGCATGCAGTCTTTCCAAGAGCCTGACCCAATGGTCATGGACATGCTGCCAGAAGCCTAGATCGTAAATAGGGTGCCTGTAGATTCTCTGCAGAATGCCACAAGCAAAGACCTTTGGTTCCAGGTCCAAGTGGCATCCAATGACGACAACAGAAATCCTCAGCTTATCGGTTGAAACATCAGGTTACTGATCGCAAACGTCCTTGTATCAGCTTATCGGTTGAAACATCAGGTTACTGATCACAAACGTCCTTGTAACCACTGACCGCTTGTAACGGCGACATAGCTGCAGCCCGCGAAATGTGCGTTCCACTCGGGTGTGGATGTGGGTTGGTGTAGGAGTGGTTCTTGCTTGGCCCAGTACAGCGGACAAATCCAGTCATGACGGACATGTGCTTGTTGCTTTGCATTCCGATAACAAAATGCAAAGGTAACGGAATGCAACTCTCACAGACCACCTCACCCCGCAGCCTCCCGTGCGTGAGATTGCAAGGAGCTCAATGGACAATGTGGTGCAGGCCGTGTTGGAGTATCTCTGCTCTTTCTATCTTCGATGCTGACTTCAGGAGGTCGTTGCGCCAGTCATACACCAGATGCAGCCCGCCAGCATGGCGCCACTGTCTTGTCAGCAGGCTCGAGGTTCTTTTGCAACCTTACCTGGGCTTTCAGCCGCCGATTCATGGCTCCTCACCAGGAGTTGTCGTCGCTCTGTCCCAAGGCCTGCGCCACGCTTCTACACGCTGATCGATGCCCGTTGGGATGCGGCTCCCTTGATTCCTGCCTTTTCAGGCAAGATCTCAGATCCACTGTCTTGGGCAGAACAGCCGGAGACCGAGATGTGTCAGCGACCACCTTCGCGGCGCCGTCTCGCACCAATCAGGTGGAGGCATCTCAGACAGCTGCCGACGGGATGTGGGGAAGTCAGCGCACCCCTCAGCCGGCGCTGAATAAGACAACAGGTTGCTCACAGGCCCAGCCCGCTCGCAGATGCAAACGGCATGATCCCCGCTCACGCTCATGGAGGTTCAAATGTGAACCCAAGAAAAGGTTTCACAGCAATTCCGCACCGGTACTGGGTGTGCACAGGACATTTCTGCTGGAGAAGTCAGGTCCCTTTTCGCTGTAGCAGTGCCATCGACAAGTACTGCGACATTTTGAAGGCACGGGTATGGCGAAAGTTCAAGCACACCGCAAGTCTTGTGTTTGTGCACTGCTGGAGGCAGGTATTTTGGATTGCCTGCACAAGCACATGGATGATGTGGGTGCAGACTGCAAAGATGCGGTCCTTGCCACCAGCAAGGCAGATGCTGGCCATTCCAGCACCCGAACTGGAATCTCAGTTCTCTGCCAGGCCATCACGGCACTGAACACTGTCAAGGCAGCGGCAACACCGGCTCCTCAGGCAAGCGAGGTATGTAGCCAGACTTTGCTGCATGTCCCGGCTTAGGTAATTTTGTGCAACTGTGCACCATCAGGCTTTGCTTGCACAGCATCGTGCCGGGCGAGCTTCAGACAGGGAACGGGCTCCCACATCGCTCCGAAACAACGTCATGTTTTACAACTGTGAACAGCTCGCGAGCATTTCGATGCACCCCCAAATTGCAGCAAGTCTTCCTATGATTGCTCCCCCGAAGCGATCAGGAGAAGACCCTGGATTCCAAGCTGGCAAGCCTCACAACCAAGGCAGGAAGCAAAGTCGTGTGGCCGTTTAAAACATTTCGTCAGCATGGCACCTGCAGGGCCCGTCTGTGGTCTCAATGATCAAAGATGCCGAAAGACAGGCGGAGGACGAAGGGATCAAGGAGATTCTGTCCCTCGAGCCGTGAGAACGGGCATCGCCATCGAAGGATCAGTTGGCCAAAGATGCCGACAAGATCGAGTCACTGCTTTCCCAGGCACTTGCCAAACCTCATGGAGAAGGTGGAAGGTTTCGCCAGATCCCTTGCAGATGTCCGAGAAGATTGGACCCAAGCCGAGTGCCGCGCCCCGCCTCGGCCATTCTCACAGACGGATGCTCAGCATGTGCCTCGTAACTTTCGCAGCGGAAGGCATGCCTGTGTCCTGTGAGGCTGGTGGAGCTACAGCGTGCTGAGCTCGGAAAGCGTCCCTGCTGCAGTCTGGAGGTCGCCCGTGAGATGCTCAGGCGGCGATACTGCTTCTGGCACTGGCCATGGCCCCCTGCGAGAAGAGGGGAGGGCCTGAGAGGGAGGGCGAAGGGCGGAATGGCATCTTGAGGCCTACTTCCTCACCCAGACCGATGAGGGAAGAAAGGCGAGACCTCGTGCAGCAGTGCAGCAGCACCGATGTCACACAGCGGGCCCAAGCTTAAACTCTGCATTTCTTGACATACAGGTCTGGCACAGAATGAGGATGGCCATGCGAGATGGTAGCCTGGTAGCCCTAACGAGAAGATCAGGGCGTACGTTCATGCTGTTGCATAAGATTGGAGTGCTGGACACTGTATAAGGTCAACCTCTTCTTGGAAAGAAGGACTTGGAGATGCCTTTCCCGTACGACAACGAGGCCTTGTCACGGAAGCATCCCTGCCTCTGCTCCAACTGCTGACCTGCAGGTTCAGCTTTGAGGAGCCTGGACCCGACAAATCGACTTTGCGCATTTCTGAAAAGCTCGCGCCCTGCTTCCTGCATTGAGCCGATTGGACCTTCGGAGTAATGCAGGCATCTCATCATGCAGCATCATGGATCTCATCGATCTTACTTGAAGCGCCTGTTGTATCTTGAACTTGGCAAAAGAGTAGACACGGTAGACGGAGACTGTGCGCAGTCGCGCTTATGTTAGGTAGGTATGAGGAGTATGACAAAACGCCACAAGCGACCGAACTGCCAGTCCATGCCATTCAATTCAGTGTTCCATGGCAGCGCTTCTCGAGAAGCTTAATGCAGCATTCGTCGCAGATCCGGCCATCGACGAGCTTCCTTGCTGCGGTCAGCTTGAGTTCTGATCGCTGAGATGACATTTGCGGGTTCTTCCTTGACTTGACAAGGTATGCATTCGTGCCGGCCGCAACACCCCAACTTTTCTCGCCCGGTGCAGATGGAGAGCAGGACCACGCCGGGTGCCGCGGGAATCCGCGGGATGTCTCGTGAGATCCCAATGGCTCGACTCGAGGATCTTGGCTGCGTACATGCGGAGCACAAGCTTGCCATCTCCATCGAGGCACAGAGCAGACATAGCGCTGATGCCTTCACTCCTCGTGTGCACCATGCGAAGTTGTGCTAGGCAGCATTGGCCCTGTACTTACATGCTTATCAGGCCAGACAGTTGGACCCGTTTCGCAGGCTATGCCATTGCTCGTGCGGGGTCCCTGGGAACAGGTGTCAAGGCAGGCAGCGAGCGGCTACTCGGAAAACTCAGCAGACACGGCGCCTGGGCCGCACGTCTTAGTCATGTCGACTGATCTGCAATGATTTGTATAGAGCTCTCACTCTACCGATTCACTGTTCAAGTCAAACTGCACAGCTCAGGTTCAGATACGGCGGATCCACGAAAGCTCCAGGGCCATTCTGCTTTGCAGCGCGGACTGCTCCGGCGTGCTGCCAAAATAACATGAATGGTCGTAGGCACTTGTCGACACTTACAGTGATGCGAGGTGCATGGAACGCATGGAACCGGACGCGAAGCTCAAGCCTTTCCCCGAAGGCCGGTCCGAAAAATCACCCGAAGAAAAGCGCCCTCGCGTGGCCATGCGGGTGGAGGCGGGGTTGCTCTTCAGCGCGCTGCTGTTGAGAACGAACCATAAGAGCGGCTTGCAGCTGAGCTGTGTTGGATGCACAGACCGCATGATTGTACCTGAAGCTTAGGTGAGACTTGGGCACAGCGGCGCAAGCTCCTGGGCGCAGTGCTTCGGGTGTCACAGGCCAGCCATAGCACCTACTGTTGACGAATGTTGATGAGCAACCAGACAACTGCACAGAATTCACAACATGTAGTCTCAGTATGTCTCAGTCACAGCGCAGCTTTTGGAAGGACGAGCAGCAGACACTGCTGTGCGAGGTGCAGCAATTCGGAAGACAGACGAACACAGCGCTAGAGCAACGTTGTTCAAAGTTGGTCGCATCCACCCAGTTTGCTCGTTAGCAGGCGTCGCAATGCCCATCTTTGTCAGGAGTTGGCGCTTTTAGAGGAGCTTGCCAGAAGGCAACGAGAGAGAATCCGAAAGGGGAGTCCAAGCCAGATGACATGTTGCCACCTAGATACGACCACCACTACTATGCCTGGAACCACTGGGCATGGCCAGGCTCTTGGAGAGAAAACGGTACTCGTGGTACGCGACGCGCGGCTACGCGCCGCAGCCGCGCGGCTCAGAGCTGAGGCTAAATCGCTTCGTCGCGGAATCTCCGGGAGCCGCCTTGGCCTTGCGATGAGTTGCGGCTGCGGCTTCAAAAGGACTCTTTTTTCCGCTTCAGGCGTCCATGCTAGAAAAGAAGTTCCCAAAGTTGGTCGGCTCCCAGTTTATCCACACTGTCAGATGGCTTGGCATTGTTGTTGACAGCATCGAAGGCCTTCCAGACACCGTCCCACTATGGTCTTTTCCATCATCGGCAGTGACCTATGAGTTGTTGCAGCGGCTTGATCACAACGGACTTATCGGTCTTGCAAGGTATAGCTAGAGAAGCACTCAGAAGCACTGAGGCTTGTCCGACTACAGCGGCAGCTAAGTAAGCAGCCAGTGGCAAAAACCTCCTTCAATGAGGTGAGACAGCTGCGATTGATATGGGCGGAGAGTCTGAGATTTGGCTGCCAGGAATGGCAACTGGCAGGCGAACTGTTAGCTACCTTTCCACATCTCGAGGCGGCGCGCACGTTCAACTTACATGGCCTCTAGCACGCATGATCACGCATGTCCATCAACATCCATCAACCAAGCCTCTGTGAACCGGTATAGGTCTAGCTGCCACATGCGTTACACTGAAGGCGCCTTGGGCTTTCCGAGGGCAATTGATGAGCCTCATGCTGGAGTTCCAGGCACAGCTCCCTGGACGCTTGTAGTCGAATTCTTGAACAACTACCTTTGTCGGGTTGTCGGAGGCTGACACAAGTCCAGGCGATGTCGCTTCCGCGTGGAGATCCGAGGAGACGCAAGCGGCGGATACAAACCCGCCTGTCAGCCGTCGGAACTGTTGAGTCCAAGTCGCAGGTCGCCTTCGCATCAAGGCCGACTGCTCAGAGATGGATCAACTCGTTTGGCATTTGGCTGACCAGGCATGTTCAGTCATCACCTCCCATCAACAGGCGCTTCCCCACCTGACAGTAACTTGTGGGCCAGAGACTACTTCATTGGCCAGGCTTGCAATGCAATTCCAGATCCTCATTCTTCAGGACTTCAACAGAAAAGGGGCAGGTGTTTGAGGCACAGTTCTAGGCCACCGCCCGTGCTTCAGGAGCTTTGCCTGCACATGATGGAGATGGACAAGACCATTGAGGTACCGCGGCGAGCACATGATAAGCGGGAGCGAGATCTGCATTCATCAGCATAGCAGAAGTTGCCTCAGAATCAGGATACCTCCCTGCTTGATGATGCCGAGTCTCTGCTGGAGAACTTGAAAGCATCCCAGGTCGGCGTCTGCCCATCGCTTCTGCGTTGCACTGCATACGCCCGATCTAGAGAATTGGTGATCTTGATCTCGTGAGATGACCTTCATGTTGGCAATGCACGCCTCGTTGTAGCATGTCGCAGTTCGATCCTACGGAAACTTCGAGGGGTAACTTGACTCACCCCAAAGGACAGGGAGTTGCAGCTCGACGAAGCATTCGTGGCGAGAGAGCGAGAGAGAGAGAGACAAAGCACTGCTTCAGAGTCCATCAACTTCCTGCCAGGCTGCTGCACCTGCTGTGCTTCTTGGCATCACTGCGGCCCAGCGCCTGGAAACCGAAATGATGTGCATGAGATGAACGCAATGCTTCGATGCAAATCGGCTGCACGCCGATGTAACTCAGGACCTGGACGTTGCTGCAGATGAGATCAGGACTGCGATGCAGACGGAAAACGACCGAGATGGCAGTACACGGTAGCCTTTTGCAGGACCGTTACTCGTGTCGCAAGCAGCTTTCATGTCTTTGGGAGGTCCCGATCACTGAAAATCGTAGCCGCTCTTGGAGCAAGACAGACTAGTCTGCCAACGTGCAAAAATCCTGCCCTTCCGCGTTCCAGCCTGGCCCTCGGTCGTGCGTGCTTCCGCTGCAGCTCGTGGC